GAGGGTGTTTGGGGGGAGGGTTTTTGGGGGGGTCAGGGCCCCCCAAAGGTGGTTGCACCCTCCAGGGGGGAACAGGGCAGCGCAACGGTTAAGGGCGGGAGGCTGCGGCGAGGAAGAGGAAATCTCGGCAGGAACAAGGAGAGGGAAAGGGCCAGGGCTGGGGACGGCGACACAACCGGGACCTGCCGGGAGCCCCCGCCGTGGCACTGGGACCGGGGACCGGGACCGGGGACCAGGACCGGGCACCGGGAGCAGCCCCGGAACGGGCACCGGTTGGCGCGGGGCTCGGCGGGCAGGAGGCGGCCGGGATGGAGAAGGCAAGTGGGGCATCCCATGGGATGTGGATGGGGGGCTGCTGGACCCACAGGGTTGGTGGCCTCCTTGTGCCCCCCACCCCGGGCATCCTTGGGCATCCACGGCAGTGCCAGGGCCTGCCCAACCCCCCCGGGGCAAGGCACGGTGGCCACTCGGCTGGTGGCCAAAATTTATCCCTCCCCATCTCCATCCTGGCAAATCCCACTGGGGGTCAGCCCCTCCGTGTCCCCCCGGTGCCACCCGGAACCGGGATGGACGGACGGACACCCCCCATGCTCCCCACAGCTCCCACCAGGCGAGGAGGAGGAGGAGGATGAAGAGGATGAGGAGGATGAGGAGGACATGGCGGGGGACGCCGAGGCCATCCTGCGCTACGAGGAGCGCATCGCGGGGCTGGTGGCCACGGTAGCCCGGCTGCACCACCGAGCCCAGCAGCTGCAGCGCCGCACCGGCAGGTACCGGCACATGGTGGCCACGGGGCTACCACCGCCCGGGCACCCCCATCTCCGGCCTTCGCCGCCCCACAGGGAGGATGAGGAAGGTTGGGAGGGCACCACCAGCCTCCCTGATGCCAACCCGCAGCCCCGGCACCTCGACACCAGTATGGAAGGTGGGTGAACCGTGCCGTGCCGTGCCACACCATGCCACACCGTGCCATGCCGTGCCACACCGGGCCGTGCCAGCCCCTTGCTGCCGGTTATGGGGTCCTGACCCCGTTCCCTCTCCCCAGCCCACGGCCCCGACCTCTTTGCTGACCTGCAGCACGCCGTCAGCTCCCTGGAACGCACCGTCTTCTCCCGGCACCGGCGGGCACCGGCACAACCCCTGCCCGGTGAGGAGTGGGCACGGGCGGCCAAGGTGAGCCACGCCGCCAACCGCCAGCCCAGACGCCGAGGGGATGGGCAGGTTGCCCAGATGCCCCATTGGGGTTGCCCATCCCCTGTATCCCTAGAGCCTGGAGGAGCTGGACCGGGCACCACCGGGCTGGAGCGGGAGGGGGATGCCCGGGGGTCCCGGGGAGGGAGCGGGCGAGGGGCTGCCGGCGGAGGAGGCGGCGATGGCGGCGGCGGTGGCGAGGAACGCGGCACTGAGGGCGGCCTTGGGACGGCGGGACGAGGAGCTGAGCCGGGCTACGGCCTCCCTGGGGGGGCTACGGGGGGAGCGGGACCGGCTGGAGCAGAAGGTGGGTGATGGGGACACGGGGAGGGGAGGGGGACATTGCCCAGGTCACCCCCCCC